ACTTTACACCACAGGCAAAAATTATCTCAAAATAGGTCAAAGACTTTCATGTAAGAGCAAAAACTTTAAAACTCTTTGAAGGAAACATAGTGGTTAATCTTCATGACCTTGGATTTGGCCAAGGGTTCTTTGTTACTCAAAAGCATGAGTGAATGTAGATCGACTGGACTTCATCAAAATTTAAAACTTCTGTTCTTCACTGTCAGGAAAGTGAAATACAACTCACCAAATGGGAGAAAATATTTGCAAATCACATATCAGATAAGTAACTTATATACAGGAAATATAAAAGACTCCGGCAACTCAGCAAGAACCAAACCCAAACCACTGGTTTAACAATGGGCAAAGAAAAAAACTGGGCAAAGGATCTGAACAGGCACTTCTCCAAGGAAGATATACAAATAGCCAATGAGGACATGAAAAGATGCTTGACATCATTAGCCATCAGGAAGATGCAAATCAAATCCACAGTGAATCCCCTGTTCATGGCCTGAAAGAGTTACTATTGTTAATGTGTGACTACTACCCAGAAGCAATCTACAGATTCAGTGCAACACCTATCAAAATCCCAATGGTGTTTTTTGCAGAAATAGGAAAAGCCACCTAAAATTATTGTGGGATCATGAAGGATTCTGAAGAGCCAAAACAATTTTGAGAGAGAAAAGAACAAAGTTGACGTTTTCTCACGCTGGATTTCAAAACCTACTACAAAGCTATGGTAATCAAAACAATGTGGTACTGGCAGAGTGGTAAAGACAGAGATACAGACCAATGGAAGAACAGAGAGCACACTGTTTTTTAAAAATTTATTCTATAGAGCACAGAGAACTATATTCAATATCTTATAATAACCTTTAATGAAAAAGAATATGAAAACAAAAACAAGTATAGGTATATATACATATATATATAATTGAAATATATATATAATTGAGGTAATTATATATATATTTATAATTTATATATTATAATATATAATAAATATATATATAATTGAAATAATTATTCTGTATATGTATATATTTCAATTTATTTCAATTAAAAAAAAAAGAATAGAGAGCCCAGAAATAAACTCACATAGATCACATAGATGATCAAGTGGTTTTAGATGAGGGTGCCATGACCATTCAATGGGGAAGGGGCAATGATGTTGGGAAAACTGCGTAGCCACATGTAAAAACCTGAGGTTGGATGCTGTATATAAAAGTTAACTCCAGATGGATCCAAGAGGTAAAACTCTAAAAGTCTTAGAAGAAAAATTTTCATGTTAATGGATTTAACAATGATTTCTTGGATATGACACCAAAGCACAGACGACAAAAGAAAAGATAGCTAAGTTGGACTTCATCAAAATTAAAAATTTTGTGCATCCTATCAACAGTGAAATGGCAACCATGGAACAGGAGGAAATATTTGCAAATCATATATCCAATAAGGGATTGATGTCCAGTATATATAAAGACCACCTACAACTTAGCAGCAGCAAAATCCAACAACCTGATTCAAAAATGGGCACAGGACTTAAACAGACATTTCTCCAAAGAAGATATACAGATGGCCAATAAGTACATGAAAATACTCAACATCACTAAGTATTAGGGAAATGCAAACCAAAACCACAATAAGATGCCACTTCACACCCATTAGGATGCTACTATTAAAAAGAAAGAAAGAAAGAAAAAAGGGAAATAGCAGGTGTTGATGATGATATGGAGAAATTGCGCATGGAAATGTAAGATGGCGCAGCCATTTGTAGAAAGCAGTATGGTGGTTCCTCAAAAAAATTAAACATAAAATTACTGCATGATCCAGGAATTCCGCTTTGGGGTATAGACCCAAAAGAATTTAAAGTGGGGACTCAAAACAGATAATTGTACACCCATGCTCATAGCAGCATTATGGTGGCTGCCAGGGACTTGAGGTTGTGAAGCGTGGGTTAAATGGGGAGTTGGTGTTAACTGGTTTCACTTGAGGAAGATGAAAAATTTCTGAAGCTGGATGGTGGTGATGTTTGCACAACAATATGAATGTACTTAATACCACTGAACTGAACAGTTACCTATAGTAAACTGGTAAATTTTATGTGTATTTTACCATAATTTAAAAAGGAAGAAAACCCACTCTAGAAGAAAGTTATTATCATTCCCATTTTACATGTAAGAGGATGTATAACTGTATCACTTTGCTGTACACCAGAAACTAACACAACATTGTAAATCAACTATACCTCAAAAAAACCTTTTTTTAAAGAAACAGAGGATCTGTGAGACTGATTTTAACAGTAAAGACACTCAAATTGCAAGTATCAGAAGCCTCATCTAAAAACATATGAAAGTAAACACACCCCAAGGAAAAACCACAATGAGATACCACTCCCTACCCATTAGGATAGCTATAATCAAAAAGTCAGATAATGCAGAGAAATCAGAACCCTCATACACTGCTGATGAGCATGCAAAATGGCGGAGCTGTTTTGGAAAACAGTCTGTTTAATGGCAGTTCTTCAAATGATTAAATGTAGAGTTACCAAATGACCCAGCAGATCCAGTCTTGGGTATACAAGAGGGAGGGTATAGCTCAGTGGTAGAGCATGTGCTTAGCAAGCACGAGGTCCTGGGTTCAATCCCCAGTCCCTCCATTTAAATAAATAAATAAATACATACATACATACATACATACCTAATTACCTCACCTCCCCCATACAGGTTAAAAAAAAAAGAGATGGAAACACAAAACCGTGTACACAAATACTTATATCAGCATTATTTAAATAGTCAGAAGTGGAAACAACCCAAATGTCCATCAGCGGAATAAGGAATTAACAAGATGTCAAGAAGTGATATATATCCGTGTACTGGAGTATCACTCAGCTCTAAAAAGAAATGAAGTACTGAGGCACTCCTCAGCTTGTATAAACCTTGAAAACATCATGCCGAGTGAAAGAAGCCAATCACATAAGTTCACATATGAAGTCCAGAATAGAGAAATCTACAGAAAGTAGATCAGTGGCTGTTAATGGTTAGGACTTGGGGGGAAATGGGAGGATAGGGGTGATAGCTAACAGGTATGAGGGTTTTGGGGCTTTTTTTTTTTTAGATGATGGAAATGCTCTAAATTTTTTCTCAGCTTTATTGATGCATAATTGACAAATAAAATTATATATATCTAAAGTGTACTACATAATAATGACATAAGTATACTTTGTGAAATGATTACCACAATCAGGTTATTTAATACATTCATCTCTTCAGTTCCTTTTTTTTTTTGGAGTGACAGTGTTTAAGGTCTACATTTAGAAAATGTAATGTACAACACAGTATAATTAACTGTAGTCACCGTGCTGTCCGCTGGATTCCCAGAGCTTCTTCATCTTATAACTGAAGACTTGTACCTCTAACCAGCATCTTCCCTTTTTCCTTCACTCCCCAGCCTCCAGTAACCACCATTCTATTCTGTTTCTGTGAGTTTAATTTTGTTAATTCCACAGATAAGTGAGCTTATACAGTATTTGTCTTTCTTTGTCTGGCTAATTTCATTTAGCATAATATCCGCTAGGTTCATCCATGTTGTTGCAAATGGCAGGATTTCCTTCTTTCTCGTGGCTGAATAGTATTTTTGTGTATGTGTGTGTGTGTTTTCACATCTTTATCCTTTCATACAGTGATGGATGAAATGGTGTTTTCATATCTCAGCTATTGTGGATAATGCTGCAATGAAAAGTACAAAGATCTCTCTGAGAGACTGATTTCATTATTTACTTCGGATATAGTCCCAAATGCGGGATTGTTGGATCATACTATAGTGCTATTTTAAACTTTCTGAGGAAACTCTCAAACACTTTCCATAGTGGCTGTACAAGTTTACTTTCCTACCAAGAGGGCACAAATTCTGCACAGCCTCGACACTTTCTCTGTTGTCTTTTTTATGAAAGCCGTCTTAACAGGTGTGAAGTGATATCTCACTGTAGTTTTGAATTGCATTTCCCTGATGATTAGTGATGTTGAACAACTTTCTAATGTACCTGTTGGCCATTTGTATGTATTCTCTGGAAAAATGTCTATTCTTCCAAATTTTAAATTGAATTATTTGTTTCCTTGCTACTGAGTTGCATACATTCCTCATATGTTTTAGATATTAACCGCTTATCAGATATATGGTTTATAAGTATTTTCTCCCATTCCATAGATTGCCTTTTCACATTGCTGAATGTTTCCTTTGCTATATTGAAGTTTTTTAATTTGATGCAGTCCCAGGTGTTTATTTTTGCTTTTGTTGCCTGTGGTTTCAGGTGTCATATCCAAAAAAATCATTGCTAAGACCAATGTCAAGGAGTTTTTTTACCTATATTTTCCTCTAGAAGTGCTACTGTTTGGGTATTAACATTTAAGTCTTTAATCCATTTTGAGTTAACTTTTGTGAGTGATAAAAACTAGAGTCCAGTTTCATTCTTTTGCATGTGGATATCCAATTTTCCCAGCACTATTTATTGAAGAGACTATTCTTTCCCCATTAAGGATTCTTGGCACCCTTGTCAAAATTAGTTGACCATCTAAACCTAGGTTTTTAATGGTGTTCTCAAATCTGTTCCATTGGTTTGTGTCCATTTTTAATACCAGTACCATACTGTTTTGATTACTATAGATTTGTTATATAGTACTTTGAAATCAGGAATTGTGATACCTCCAAATTTATTCTTCTTTCTCAAGATTTCTTGGGCTAGTCAGGATCTTTTATGATTCTATATGAATTTCAGGATTATTTTTCTTATTTCTGTGAAAAATGCCAATGGAGTTTTGATAGGGATTGCATTGAATCTGTAGATTGTTTTAGGAAGTGTGGACATTTTGATCCCACTCCCACCTACATATGCCTCATTTGGGGACCATGTGCCCTGTCTCTGCTGAACCACCTGCAATCCCCAGGGCTCTTGGAAGCTTGGAGTATTTGTAGCATCACATGAGATATTGAGAAAGCACACTATAAAAATACAGTTGTGTTTTTTTTTTAAATACTTGGAATAAGGTTAGCAGGGTGAGCACCAGTTCTTGGGGCTGGTTCACCTCATCTGCCTCTTCTCCTGATTACACTTTTGCTGGACACGTGGACAATGAACTTCCCATTTAGGTTTTAGTTAGAAGGTAAGTTTCTCTTAGGACTCTGCAGTTCTGTTAGTACTGAATTATATCTGAGCACAAGCTAAAGACTGAACCCAAAGGGCCAGGTCCAGTTTGGTGTTGGCACTGGCGTGATAAAGCATCAGGGAGAACTCAGAAGCAGAGCAGAAGCTGGACGTGCCTCTCACCAACCCTCTCATTTTAGAAATCTGTTTGTTGGAGGCCACACAATGAATCAGAGGCGGAGCTGGGACTGTAACTCAGATCTTCTGATCCCGGCACAGGGTCCCTTCCCCTATACCATGCCATTCACTTTGGCTCCATCATCAGTATTTAAAAACACATTCGTTTGAAACTGAAAGTTTGGCTCCAGTGCAAAGTCCAAAACCTAAGAAAACCCCTCAAACCTGAATTACACCATGAACAGGGTAGTATCAAATCAACAACTCCACACACAGAAACTACCACATCAAGAGAAAAGGATCATGATACGTGGTCTGTGGGAGAGGTGGGAGTTTTTGCAGCTTTACTGAGATATAATTCACATACCATGAAATTTTCCCTTTTTATACAATTGAGTCTTATTCAGTATATTCACAGAGTTGTGTAACCATCACCCCCAAAAGAAGGCCTGTACCCATTAGCAAGCATTACCACTTCTTCAGCCCCAACCCTCTGCCAGCCCCTGGAGACCACTAATCTACTTTCTGTTTCTGTGGGTTTGATTCTGGACATTTCATATAAAGGGGATCATCCAACATGCGGTCTTTCGTGACGGCTGCTTTCACTTAGCACGCTCATCCATGTTGGAGCACGTTCGTACTTCATTCCTTTTCATGGCTGAGTGATATCTCATCATATGGATGGACCACATTTCCTTTATCCGTTCACCAGCTGGTGGATATCTGGGTTACTTTCATCTTTTGTCTCTCATGAATAATAAAGTGATAAACATTCCTATACAGGGTTTTTGTGGACATGTTTTCAATTCTCTTAGATAAATACTGGGGGGTTGTGGTAACTATTTTCAACTTTTTGAGGAACTGCCAGACTGCTTTCCAAAGCAGCTGCACCATTTTACACTCCCGCCAGCAGTGTATGAGGGTTCCAATTCTCTGCATCCTTGCCAACACTTGTTATTGTCCAACCTTGTGACAACAGCCATCCTAGTGGGTTCTGGCAGTGTTTTTATAACAAAAAGGCAACTGTTAATATACTCTGGGCAAATGTTTTCTCTGATCAACCGTAGGACCCATAGGACCCAATCAACCTCAGGCAGAAGAATAGGGCTAATGCTGATAATACCCCAACCCTGCTGCCTGGGCTGCCCTCCCTGACAGGTCAGGATGGTGGTTCTCAAAATGTGATCCCCAGACCGGCAGCACCAGCATCACCTGGGAACCAGTGAGAAATGCAAAGTATTGGACTCCGCCCAGACCGGCCGAGTCTGAGCCTTGGGGAGACAATCGGGGAGCTCCCTGGGATTCGAGTGACCGTGACGCCTGAGAAAGTGCAGGGAAGGCAGTCGGCTGCATCACGTCTCTGCCCCTTATGTCAGCTTTCATCTCTTGTTGGTGACGATGAACATGTACAAACCCTCATCCCCTGCCAACAGGGACGACAGTGACCACGGAAAGAGCTTCTAAAGGATTCAGTCATGCGACTCAAGTGGAAGGGCTTGACATTTCCCAGTAATGAGTGACACTGTTTATGTGAGATATTCATAATAATTAATTTTGGACACAGGAAATCCAGCAGGAAGGTAAACGGGAATCTCTCAAGCACCACCCAAGGCAGCGACAGGACGATAATTTCCATCATACTTAATAACTCAGAATGTCAAAGGACGTGCCAGCTCCCGGGAAGTGAACACACAGGAGCTTCACAGAACCACCATTTAAAACGGGAGAGATGACGTCATCAGCCCGGGTGAAATACACCACAAACACTCCACCTGACTGTGGAGAAGTACGGTGTGTCTTCCGCACACTGCAATTTTAACCCTTCTCCAGGGGAGGGTACAGCCCAGCGGTAGAGTGCGTAATTAGCATGCACAAGATCCTGGGTTCAATCCCCAGTCCCTCCACTTTAAAAACAAATTAATTTACACCTTCTCTACACACATTTCTGACCAGTTAGCAAACCCAATTACTAGCGGCTAGAAGGCTCTCCGTGGCTCCGTTCTTGCTACGTCCTTCAGACACTTCTCTGCATCGGCACTTCCGGCCCAGGCAGCCAGGAGCGGGGGCGCATCACACGCGCAAGTGGACGGAGAGGAAGGGCACCCCCGGGAGAGCGGCACTGCTGCAGCCACGCCCCTGCTCCGCACCTCCCAGCTCCCCGCCCCCCGGCCCCCACGGCTGCGCGGGTCTTCACAGCATCTCCCTGGTATGAGACATCCCGGAGTCTCTGAGAAGACCCAAAACCTTCTGGTAAGCGTCCAGGACGTCCTGAGCGGTGGGTCTCTCGGCAGGCGTCTGGCTCTTACACGCCTGGTGAATGTCAAACAAGTGGAATCGGACCATGTCGCTGCCTTCCACGTGCCCCAGCAGGAAGCTGGTCACGTCCGGAATCTTCCAGATGTCGACCTTCTCGTCATACGCGGGCATGAGATCGTCGCGAAAAGGCACGTCCTGTCCGTAGGGCCACAGCTGCTCCGGAGCCACAAAATCCCCACGGAGCTCCCTGTGGCCGCACTTGGCCAGGGCCCCCGAGCTGCGGTTCACCAGCGGCAGAGCGTCCAGGTCGTTGAGCACGACGCTGAAGTTGGCGGTCAGCAGGTACTGGGACAGCGTCTTGGGCAGGTCGCTGGAGTCGCACATGACCAGCGTGCCCAGCGGGCTGCGGTGCAGGAAGCTGAGGATGCTCACGTAGTCCACGGCCAGCTGCAGACGGTGCTGCCACGTGTTCAGGCGCTGGTACCTGGACAGGTTCAGCGTCTCCTCCAGGTTGTTCAGGGAGCCCAAGGGGTGATACTCGGTGAGGATGGTGTGGTCGTCCTCACAGTAGCCAAGCAGCGTGACCACGTGCTGGCCCTGCAGCGACTTCAGCATCCGCAGTCCGTGCAGGAAGTCGTCTCTCACGTCCAGCCTAGTGAGCCGCGAGAGGGCGACCTTGCGTTCCTTCCACTCAGACAGAAACACCTGAAACGAAGCCACAGACAACGTCAACCCAGAACCCTCGTCTGCAGGTGAGCCGAGAAGCAACGCGACAGATGCCTTCACGTGCTGGATGTGGTGCAGAGGACACAGACCTCCGTCCTAGGGTCGCTCTCCGTCTGTCCCGAAGACTCACCCATGAGCACAGACAAGACGCCGGGCGGGGCCAGCGCCACATCAGCACAAAGGCCCAGCGCAGGTGGCAGGGGCAGCTGGCCTGCGTGCGGGGGGTGCCATCTGGAGAGCGTGCTGGGCCGTCTTGGGAGCTGTCAGCGGGGGGACTGCAGCTTGCAGGGCAGATGTGGAGAATGGGGTCTTTCCCAGGAGAGGGGGCTGCACGCGTAAAGGCAGGGCGTGGCACACAGCCTGTTAACCCTGGATCAGTGTAGCACAGAGCAGGACCGGAGGGAGAAGGCCGGAAAAGTGGGGAGAGATGTGGAAAATCTCATGTAGGGAATGAGCGCAGCTGGCCCATCACACACATGATCGTTCACTTCAAAGGGTAGCAGAGTAAACTGCAAAAGGAGCAGCTTGAAGTAAGGAACCACTGTTCCCTGGTCTGTGGTCTCCTACTCCAGCTGTCAAAGCAGGCGCTCAGAGCCCGCCCCTGGGGCCCTGGCACACGGAGCAGCTGCTGGATCCCCACTTCCATCAGCCAGGAGAGCACTAAGAACTGCTGATCTTCTGCTTAAATCCCCACTGGGAGAGAAAACAGGCTCCCAGTTGGGTCACCGCTGCCCCAGGCTGCTCGGACCCCCAGGGCTGGTCCCTCTGGCTTCCGCATCTTCATGGTCAAAATACGGGCTGCAGAAGCGACTTGGAGGGTATTTTTCAAGAGCCTTTGATATTTAAATCTACAATCTATCCAAGGCAATAATCTGAAACAGATACAAAGCTCTAGGAATAAAACTCTGGCATCATTTATAAAAGCATAACTAGGACCTATCCATCCCCCCAGATCGGGGAGCGGTCCAGTTACCTGCCAGGACCACACAAAGAATGTTACGGGCACAGCAGCTGCAGGTCCTGAGAGGGTTTCCACAGATAAAAGTAACGCACAGATGAAAAGAAGAGATCGTTCTTATGCTGTTGTTCTAACTGCATATAGCAAGACAAAATTACACAGAAATTGACAGGAACAGGCTAACGTTTTCTGTTCTCTACTTTTTTTTTTTCCTTTACACCTTTTGGTATTTTCCAACTTTTCCAGAATGACTACATATTACTTTTATATTTTAAAACATCTTTAATGGGGAGGGTATAGCTCAAGTGGTAGAGTGCATGCTCAGCATGCATGAGGTCCTGGGTTCAATCCCCAGTCCCTCCATCAAAAAATAATTAAATAAGTAGACCTAATTACCTCCCCACAAAAATAACTTAAAAAAATCTTTAAAAAGAACCAAAAAATATGGTATCAAATGGAGGTGGGCTAGAGGATTCTGAAGATCCCTTTTGGACTCGAGAAGGGAGGTTCATTCAGGGAAGAACCTACATAACTACCGTTGATGATTTATTCAAAAGAGAAATCTTTCAAGACCTTCTTGAAAACCTAAATTTGAGAAATTTCACTACAGATAATTTCTATTAAGAAGCCAAGTTGCTCTGTATATATTTTTATTTTTATACGGAACGCGTTCTCTCCATAGATCTGCGCCTGCACTGAATTTGGTAAATGAGTCCAGTGTAAGAATTGGGTTTTTGCCGAGATCCCTCACCCCGGAGCCCACCTGCCCCTGGCGGTCAGCACCAGCAGACGGCTCTGGTTTCCGGGCCCATTTTCCCATAGAACTGCGTTCACGCTAGGGAAGTGGCTACAGTTTATTTACATATTTATTCAATAAGAAATGCAGAAGACGCTCAGCCACAGGCCTCACAACATCCTCCCAAGCCTTCCTTTACGTCAAATTCATTTCTGTGTCTCTGATGAATGAAAATAAATGTTATTTATTGCTAAATATTATTGGTCTTTGGGATCACCCACAAACAACTGAAACCTCCAATGCTAAAAAATATCTGCAAGTTAGGGATTAAGAATCATTTCTCAGCAATCAACTTCACCTTTTTTAAAAGATTATAAAAATAAGCATGAATATTTTTCTTGGTGAAAGTTCAAACGCGGAAAGAACAGACCTCCTTCCTCTGCATTCACTTCCCGAGCCAGGGAGACCAGCCAGCCGTGCGGCTGGAACCCTCTCAGGAGTTTCCCTACGCTTTTGTTGTTAACGTACCTTTATAAAACAGCATTGAGTCTGTTACATAAACGGGGATTATAACACAAATATACTGCTGCTGGCTTTTTTCATTTAACTGATGCCTCAGGAATCTTTCCCTAATGTACGTACAGATCCAGGTCACTCTTTTTAAAGCTGCGTATTTCACAGTATGGGCATACTACCTGTACTGCATTTTCAGTAAGATTTTACAGATGATCATTTCATTTTGGGGGTTCCAACGGGGCGGGACAGACAAGGCTGACACCTAGCTCCAACACTCATGCCCTGAGGGCAAGTTCTAGCCAAAGAAACAAAACACACAGCCTCGGGGCCTTATGGTCGCCCCTCCCTCACCTTAACCACTCCAGGTCACTGAATCTACTGGGAGAGGTGTCATGTGCCAGATTCCCTGAAGTCCTATCTGTCTTCAAACACGGCCTGCCATCATCGAAGCTATACAGAAACACACCCTCCAGGGTAAAAACCAATCCTGAAAAATGTTCCCCAATCGTTCTGAGTGAGTATGATGACACGGAGGCCCCTCTTTGAAGGAGACAGAAGTTAACTGGCTGGAAGTCCTCTCCCTGCCACTCCATCTCTGGTGGCTTCTTCACAGCCTAAGGCTGTCGACACCACCCCAAATTCTTACCCTGCCCTGGGGGCAGGACTCGTGCACCCAGCTGACCGCCTGAGTCTCAGCCGGGCCTCCCAACGGCCTCGCGCGTCCATCTCGAGCATACAGAATCCGCTCTCCCGCCCTCCCATGCTGCCTGCTGCTCAGGCTGGGGACCTCGCAGTCACCCCCCACCTCGCACCCCACATCTGGTCTCCTGGGACATCCTACACATCCACTTTTAACACACAGCCAGATCCCATCAATTCTCGCTGAGTCCAGTGCTGACACCCATTCAGCTGTGGCTGTCCCATCCACTCGGCACACAGGCCGGCCCCTCAGCCCTCTACCCACTGCTCTGATGGTGCCTGAGGCCGGCAGGCCCAGCAGGACCCCCCCACCTCTGACCTCCTACTTTCATCTGCCTCTAGTCTCCAGATGACCAGGCACGTTGGGGTCTCTGCTGGTCCCCATCTCTCTTCCTGGAACATTTTCCCCAAATATCCCACCACCCTGACCGTCTAGAGTAACAAGCCCGTGGCTCCTTTCCCGTCCAGCTGTCTTCATGGTGAGCGTCACCAGCACAGTGTATTACGCAGCTGTTTCTTGTCTTCTCGGCTGGCTGGCCTCTCAACCAGGATGCAAGCTTCAAGGGTCTTTGTTCTGTTCACTGCCACACCCCCAGCACCTCTACAAGGAGTGCGTGAATCTCTAAAGGAGCAGCTTCCTTGTTTCAAAGCTTTACTTCACATTAACTGGTCTCCTTTCTCCCTTGATTCCTTCCTTTAAGGTGTCTCCACTCCACATTCATGGTCATGGCAGCCGCCGGATGCATTTTCTGCCCCTCCACCCCGTTCCTCATCACTCGCCGTGTCCTCACGAAGGGACTGCCTTTGTTCAACACCCTCCACTGGCTTCGCTAGTCACCCTAACTCACCGTTTCTGCAGGCGCGGCCACGCAGTAAACACCGCACACGGGCCGCCTGTGAGACGGGGCTCTGGAAGCTTCTACCTGAGAACTGAATTCTCCCCTTCGGTTTCTCTTTTTAAATAAATTTTTTAAAAAATCAATATAACACCATCATAGAGTTTGAAAAACAAGAACCAAAAAAACTGCCCCAAGTCCTCCTTCACCATAGCACAACTTCTATCATTTTTGTATTTTTCTCTGTATGTAATCTTGCAGATGAAATCGGTGTATTGTACAGTTTTCTGTTTTGCTTTTTCACTTAGAAGATGTTTTTCATGTTGTGACGCAGGGTTCCTAACTACACTTACTGGCTGCAGAAGAGTCTGCGACCAGCCGGACCATAATTTAATTAACCATCCCCTACAGTCATCATTTCCGGTTTTCTCTGACTATGGACAACAAAGCTGAGTACCCCTTCGTGCATTCAGCCTTCTCCTTCCTTTGGATTACGTTACTGGGGTGCATCCCAGATGTGAGCCCGGGCGGGGCTGGAGGGCAGGAGCATCTGGATGGCTCCCCGCGCCCGCACACACGCCAGCTGCGCTCCCAGAGGCCGCCGGCCACAGGGGACTGGGGTTCAGGACTCACCCTCTTCACGGCGCCTTCCCCGACGCGTCTCAGCTGCCGGACCTCGGTCCTCAGCTGCTCACAGCTCAGCCACGGGGAGCAGCTGCTCATCTGCCCCACCCGGAAGTGGCCGTGGGGACAGCGCCCAGGGTCCTCGGTGCGGCGGGGGGAGATGAAGAGCCGGTCAAGGCAGAGGTAGAGGAGGGCATTCATGAGGGCCATGGCCAGCAGCAGCCCCAGGCCCGGGGGCACGTCCCTGTGCGGGAGGCCCTTCCTGCCTTCCTGGGCTCTGGTCTCCATGGCGCTGTCCTCTGCCATCCCTACAACCGAGGGGAAACAAGAAGTGGTCACGGCCCGTCTCATTTCACGAAGGACACGCGGGGACCCCGGGCCTCCGCATCATTGCAGCACCGAGGAGGCTGAATGCCAGCACCAAACGCCGCATCGACCAATGCCAGCTCCGCCCGGAATCCTTGCTCTTCACTTCAGCCCCGAGGGGAGGGGGCCTGGTGTCTGTCTATCTCCCCACAGCAGTCTGCGCTGGGCGGATACTCAACCAAGAGGGAGGGAGATGGAAGCACGCTGTGGCTTTGTCAGCCTGGCAGGGCGGGGGCGGCGGGGGGCCAGCCAGGGTCAGGGGGTGGCAGTGATGCTGAGGGGCTGGGGTGTTCCCTGGAAGGAACTCAAGAGCTCCCTGATGTTTATAAGAAGAAGTGTGAAAGCTGCCCCCGGGGTGGGAGAGTCTGGGAGGGAGGCCCCGCCAGGGTCCAGGACTGCCGAGCCCACCAGCCAAACTAACAGGACGGTGTGAGCCAGGGGCGGACTCAGGTGACCCTCGCACCCAGCAGCCACGACAAGGCAGGGTGCTCGCCCACAAATGGATGGGCTGGGCTCCGGCCCTGGAGCAGGTGTGCGCCCGTGGCAGAGGCAGACATGACTACTTGGAGGGTGGGGGTGGCAGCCAGGGGGGTGGGGAGAGGACCCGGACACTGGGAGCTGGACCCTCAGGGTGCCTGAGGCAGACGGCGTTTTCAAACACAGAGAAGTGTCACTACTCTGACAAGGGCTGTGGCCGCACCGGCACACGCCAGCTTCACCTCAGCACTGGGACAGGCGGGACACCAGAGGCAGAATGGATCCTGTGCCTCTGGGGTCAGAGACAGCCATGACATGAAGCCTTACCTTCCAGGAGGGCCTTCCTTCTCCCAGCTCAGGTCTCCCTCCAGCCTCCTGGGCCGTCAGGCTTCTGGTTGGCCCCGTGCACCCAACTGAAAGTTACCTGCCTCCAAGCACCAAAAAGGAGGCTTGTTAAATAGAAGCTGCAACTCTGCCCGCAGACAAAAGGCAACAGTCCAGGTGGTCCGCCCTCCCCAGGGGCCTCCTGGCTGGGTGTCCCTCAGGTTCCTGATCCCCAGGATGGAGCAGGAAGTCCTCCCGCAGCCCTGTCAGCTTGTCCACGCCCCTCACCAGCCTCTCTGGTCCCCGCCTGCTCCCTCCATCAGTACCTTCTGGCCCCCGTTCATTCCACACGTCTACAAGGCAGCCCTGCTCTGGGCACTACAGAGGGGCAAGCAACCCTCTTCTTCGAATGATGACTGCTTTCTCCTGAGAAACTGTTCCCTAAAATCACAGACCACCAGAAGCTCCTGGCGCGAGGGCCTGTCAGGAAGAAGGGCGCCCCCGCTGTGGCCTGGAGCAGCGGAGTCGCTCTGACCCGGAGCAGAGCTGCGGGCAAGTGGTCTCAGGAGACGACACTGCATGTCTACGTGGGTCCACGTGACCGGCCAGGCCGGAGCTTGACCTCTTTGCAGGCAGCCCTGCTTGGCCTTGAGCCATCAAAACACGGCTTTGTTTAAATTCTGCCTAAACTCCACTGTCACCCCAGTTCTGTGCTAACTCTCTCTCCCTCTGGTTGAGATGCCAAGTTCCCGCTGGCGGTCCTGTTCACTGCGATGGGTGAACACACCCGATAGGTGTGAATGGTGGCCTCGGCCCCCCTCTCCTCCACCTGCATCACCTCCCCCACCCTCCCTCTCCGCTGCTGATCCATCCTGGTTCCTAGTTCCCTGAAGAAACACTGCCACGGCTCCCAGCACGGCTCGCAGCCCCCCGCCCCTCCGCCATGGCTCCCGCCAGCTCCCGGCTCCGCCCCAGCAGGGCCCTCCTCTCCGGAATCCTGACCCGGCGCCCTAACATCTCCCATCCTTTAAAGCACCCCCTCCTTGCCCCACCTTCCCCTCCAGCTACTGCTTTTTGGCAAACTCCCCAAAGGGTGTCTATACTCGCTAGTTCCACCTCTCTCTTGAACTCACTTCTCTCAAACCCATGCCGACTGCAGCAAGGTGACCCCCACGCCCTAACAAACAGCCAACACGCAGTCCTGGTCCTGGCCTCTCAGCACATCTGCCTGGCTGATCACTCCCCCTCCTCACAACACTCACTCAGTTCCCAGGAAACCGCAGGCTGGGACCTGGCCCTCTCCCCTCACACTCCCGGGGTCTCATTCAGACGCCCCACTCTCTGATGGCTCCAGATGCGTGTGAAGCCCCAGTCCCAGCCTCTCAGGACCCCACACCTGCTTCCCTGACACCTCTCCCTGGAGGCTGATGGACAACTCAAAAAGAACATTTCTCCTCATGAGGAAAAGACAAATAACTCAATTTAAAACTGGGCAAAGGACTCGAGTAGACATTTCTCCAAAGAAGACATACAGATGGCAAATGGGCCCATGAATAGTCATCCGGAAAATGCACATCAAAGCCCCGAGACCCCAGCGCACACCCACCAGGATGGCTACAGTCCAAGTGTCCACAAGGACCCCTCCCACATGGCTGGTGGCAGTCACACTGGTGCCGCCACTGCACAAAACGGGCCAGAGGTGCTTCCAACGTTAAACAGAGCTACCAGCACACCTACTGCTCAGTATCTAGAGAACTGAAAATGCACATTCACGCAGACGCTTGTACGTCAATGTTTACAGCAGCATTTTTCTTAAAAGCTGAATAATGGAAGCGACCGAGACGGCCATCAACCGATGCAGGATAAACAGAACGGGGTGTCTGTGCAGCGGCACGTTATTCGGCCATTAAAAGGAATAAAGCCCCAACACATGATGCAACGTGCGTGACCTTGAAAACATTATGCCAAGTGAAATGGGCCAAGAGAAACAGCATGTGAGTCCGTTTACATGAGGCCGCAGGTGGAGGGTCGGCAGTGACACTGCTTCTGCTGAGCAGGACATTCACAAATGGAATATACTCTTCCACGAGTCAGTGTCCGTTTCCTAATAACAAGAGAACACACTGCTTTGATCATCCGCTCTGTCCTGACAAGCTGCTCAGGAACCCTGGCTTTCCTCAACTGCCCCGCCCTCACTCTGCACCCTCCTTCCTCCGGACTATGCCTTCTGCTCACCGGCGACACCCAGCGATGTCCCGAGGGTTCTCTGCTCACCTTTCTCATGGAGACTGCAGGCCCACATCTTTATCTCCAGCCCACTCCCTCCTGCCATCTCCCAGGACTTCCACGGTCACGGTGACGACTTTCACCGCTCAGGCCTCAAGGTCTCCTGAGCTTCTCCCCTGGACACCTGATTCTTAGAAGGTGACCTTAGAGAAACAGATGAGATGCCCGCCACCTCTCTTCCAGAGCATTTAAAGTCACCAAGAGTGTCTCAACTTAGGCCTTGGGTCAGGACCAGCCAACTGTTTTTCCGTAAAGGGCCAGGCAGTACATGGTGAGGTATAGGGGCCGGACGCAGGATTCGAGTGACCACACCACGGGGACAGGTGGGACGTGGAACCGCGGTGCTGAGCGACGAGGTAACTGTCGGGGTTCCTCTCTCCTGTGGTCAGAGCGCGGGAGCAGCCAGACCACCCGACACAGCCGAGCGTGGCTGTGCTCCGACAGAACTCTGCTCACCGCCGCTGGGACGTGCATTTCACAGAGTTTCCACGTGTCCCAAGATCCTTTTGATCCTTCACCCAACAGTTAAAAGGTGAACAGCACCCTTCGCTCACAGGCTACATGAGGATGGGTGGCGGGCAGCAGTAGCCGGCCAGGCCTGATATAGGTGACCGCATCTCTCCGGGTGTCAACTTCATTCCATGCCTTCCACCCCCACTCCGTCTCACGCCTTCTGCGTTGTCTCATCCACGCACACAGCTCTGCGAGCCACGGACACGCCGATGGTTTCAAGCCCTTTCTCCTGCACTTCACTCCACTGGCCCCTCAAGGCCTGGGGCGTCCATAACTCAATTCTCTCCCTCCTGTCGCCAGCACGCCCCGCACCCCCCAGAGCACCCACTCTGTGACAAGCACACAACCAGGGGACTTCATTCCTCCCTCCTCTAACCCCTTGACCAAACGATCACCACCTACAGTCAGTTCTCCCACTAGATCCCTCAGATCTGCTCACTGCCCTCCTTCCTCACTACCAGCCATGGTCTGTGTCTCTCTCTTTTTTTAATTGAAGTATAGTCAGTGTGTCAATTTCTGGTGCGCAGCACAATGTCCCAGTCATGCACACAAAGACATATATTCCTTTTCATATTCTTCATTAAAGGCTATTACAAGATACTGAATAGAGCTCCCTGTGGTCTGTGTCTCTTACCGGGGCTCCTGCAACACTTTCCTACGTAGGCTCCCAATTCTTCCCCCTTTCCGATCCATTTTCCACAGCAAGTAGGATCTTTTCTCTTTCCTGAAATGTTTCAAGCAGAGAAAGTTAAACAGAAGCCCATAAGCAGCCATCTCGCTGTCAGGTGACAACTGCATCCTATTTTTTAAAGAAATGAGACAGTACATGCATGGTTGAAGCCCCGGGGGCCCCCTCGCGGGCCTATTCTGCTCCCTCCCAAGAAGTCACCAGCATCCTTGAGTCGCCATGTCAGCGGTTCTCAAACTGTGGTCCCTGCACCTGCAGCAGCATCACCTGGGAACTTCTGAGAAACGCAAGTTCTTGAGCCCTAGCCCCAGACCGACTGGATCAGAAACCCAAAGGGGAGCCCAGAAATCCAGGGGGTTTTATCTTAACAGAAGTACTGGCGACTCAGCCCAGGACCTCCTGCGTGCTAAGCACATGCTCTACCACTGAGCTATCCCCTCGCCTAAGAAATCTGTGTTTTGACAAGTTCTCCAAGTGACTCGGGTGCCTGCTAGTTTGAGAACCACGCATGCTTTTTATTTTTACCTCTTGAGTATGCGCCCATAAATAATGACACAGAATATTCATATGTTTCCAAGCTTTGTACAAACAGTATTGTACCGCTTGTCCCTCAGTAACCACAGGGGACTGGTTCCAGGACCCCGGTGAACATCGGCAGATACTCCAGTGCCTTACATAAAACGTATGGTGTAATACAATCCTTCTACAGCTTCCTTTTTTGAAAGCTCCGCATTATGCTTCTGAGGTTTGTCCAAGCAGATAATGAAACACTGGTTCGCTATTTTGGACAGACTCTGCCACAGCTAGTGAAACAGGTTTTGCACACACGTCCTGTGCATATGTGGAAGAGTTTCTCTCTGGTATATACGGGGTCTTTCTAAAGCACAAATCTGATCACTCCTTGCTTTTAAAGCATTTGATAGCCCCTCTCTGCGCTCAGGATGAAGTCTAAACTCTGATACCCCGCCTCTACCCACCCCAAGGTCCAGCTTCTGTGCCCCTGTCCAGACCCGTCCCTGAACCCCACCCTCCAGCCCGTGGGCTTTCCTTAGTCCCGGAAGGGCCCTTTCTGGGATGCCCAGCTTCAGCACCTTGCTCTTTCTTTCTTGACTGTGAGGTCCTAGGGGACCACTTGCCTGGCGTGGGTACCCGTGTATCCTCCATGGCTGGCGCGCAACAGGGGCTCAGGAGAACCGCACTGATCAGCTGATCACCCACAGCCTCCTGTCTTCATGGCTTCTTCCTCCCTCCCACCCGGTCTGCTCTCCACCTCTTCGGGGCGCCTGTCCTCAGCCACCACTCCCTGCAATCTGAGTTCACCAGCCCAAACCCACCATTAATCCTCTTCATCCGCAGACCCTCCTTGCCCCTGACCTTCCGCTGATCCTGCCGGGCACTGCTACGGGTAGATTCAGATCTTACAAGGCCTGATGTTTCCATTTTTTTTCCCTTCTTTGACATATTTCTTGTCAACTCTACAGCTATTTGCCTCAATATCCTTTCATTTCTCCCTAGAAGATTCAGAAATTCTCTCTCAGAAAAAAACTCATCCAGAAATTCACCTAACTTGTACAGTGTCTACTGCATACTAATTCCGTAAGGTAGAGATAAGTGTTATTATTCCCATTTTACAGATAAGAAAACTGAGTCAGAGTGAATGAATTATCCACGGTGACTATCCTGTACATGGAGGAGCCAAGTTTTCTGGCCTCAAATCCACATTCTTCCTCTAAATTCTGCAACCCTTAGGACTGAACTGAATACAGTCTGGTCACTGCAGGGGTGGGGGGGCTGATACAGAGACTGCCCATTTCTTAAAGGAGTCGTTCGCCCACCCCAACACCTGATGGGCTTTCTTATTTGTTTGGGGTTTTTTTTGGGGGGGGGCGTAATTAAGTTTATTTATTTTAATGGAGGTACTGGGGATTGAGCCCGAGGCTCATGCATGCTAAGCATGGGCTCTACCACTGAGCTATACCCTCCCCACTGGGCTTTTTTTTTTAAAGGTATATTTTCAGGAGTAGGTTGCCCAGAGCTAGGGATAAGACTGCATGGCTGAAGGAATTTTCTTGCCCAGAAATAAGCAAAATGACACTGAAAACTGCTGGTTCTGCAAGTTAAGAAATGATTGTGTGGCCAGGTGGGTAGAAGAAATTCAAGCACTGTTGAGACACAAAGCATTTCTGACACTGGTAAGAAAAAACCGGAACAAATGGGAACCACTGCTACTCACTCACAGCTTAATTTAGAAAGAAAAAAAAAAGAATGAAACAAAATTAGTTTTCACCAACTACAGATTATTTTATATAACCAGAGGAAAAATAATGGATTACTGTTCCCCAATACAGTTTAGGTTGGAATCCCATTTTGCCAACAAAGCACGGTATATTAAAATATGATTTTAAATATTCCGGATGCTTGCTTAACCTTAAGGTTCTATAGTAAAGGTCAAGGATGGGGAAGACAAGACCACCCAAGAAAACGGCTAAGTCCTGCTTTTTAAGAAAGGGCAG